AGGGAGGCTTCTCTTAATCTCACAGGCTTATAAATCTTTTTTTATTGCTATAAGTTAGTGTGGGTTTTGCAATAAAAACAAAATTATTTTTCTTAAAATTCCTTATTAAATAAACATTTAGAAAGCAAACTCAAAAAGTCAGGCATCATATTTGTCTAATCAATTCATTGCTATTGTCTTAGTACATAGTAAAATATTTAGTAAGGAGATACTTAATAAAAATATTAGACTTTATATGCAGCCTACACTAGCTGATAATAATAACTAACATTAATATCTTTGGTTGCTAAATATTAATATTTAGGCTGCTACATTCCCAGTTCTTTTTTTCCTCTTTTAACTTGAAACAGAATCTCCGTAAATTGTTACGTTACCCAGGCCAGACTCAAACTGGCAAATGTTCCTGCCTTAGTTTGCCAGAGTGTTGGAATCATAGGATTAGGCCACTGCACTATTATTTATTGAATTCCAGGTGCTTTTAAAGTTACTGTAGATATTGCACAGAAGAGTGACTTCATTAAAATGGTCAAATAAGACTACATAGCACTCCTTTCCTTGCAGAAACATGAGCTTGAATAACTATGTACGACACACATGTAGTCACTAGCGCTGAGGACAATGTGAGCGATTATGGGTTAGCAAGGAAATAAGAGAAGACAGCACAGGGTGGTGGCACACACCTATCGTCCCAGCACGCAGAGGCTGAAATAGGAAAACTGAAATTGTGAGCTCAGCCCAGGCAACTGAGTGACTTAGAAAGACCTTGTATCAAAATAAAAGTTTAAAAATTGTCAGAAGATGTAGCTAACGAAAAAGGTACTGGATTAAAATCTCTAGTGTGGGAAGAAAACACGGAAAGAAAGAGAAAAAGAAAAAAAAAAGAAGGCAAGCATGGTCTGTGGAAGAACATAGGAAGGACAGTTCCCATTACATCTTCTCTCTCTCTCTCTCTCTCTCTCTCTCTCTCTCTCTCTCTCTCTCTCTCGTCCATCTTGTGAGTTCTCACGTGTCCCACCTTAGACCCATCTCACCTCATGGCTTTGTTCTATAAAAATCACAAAAAAGGCAGATTCCTAAGCAACCCACTCAAGTCCCATTCTGTCCCTCTCTGGACAGAAGTCCCCTCCCCCATAAATATATTCTGTTGTAAAAAACAAAACAAAACAAAACAAAAAAACCAAAACACCTAAAACTAGAAATTCCAGTATTCCCTGTCTAGGTATCTTTCCAAATGAGTTAAAGACATCTTATTACAGTGACACATGTTTATGGCAGTACAGCACATAACTGCTACATCTTGGGATTGGCCTACATGTCCATCAATACAAATATGACATTTACATACAACAGAATACTACTGTGTTATGAAGAAAGATAAACCTGAGTAGTTTGTAAGCAAATGGATGCACCTTCAGAACATAATGTTAAGTGAAGTCAATCGGACAGACACACTTAGGTATTGCAGTTTCTCTTCTATGAGAAACCCAACTATAAATGAAGAGCAAAATAAAGGATAGATAATATGCAGGAAGCTGGAACTTTCTCAAATGAGGAGCTCTACAGATAAAGAGAGTTGAGTGACAGGGAGGGAAAGAGGATTAAAAAAATGAGGACATGCTAAGTACAAATGCCAGCTCCACACAAGGAATGTAAGCACCAGACAGTTCAAATATATGGTAGCAAAAATAATCATTTTAAAGTATCTGAGTAAGCCACAACAGAATAGAAAGAACTAAATGAAATCAGAAGAACGGTACATCAACAAAATTTGAAGTTCAAAATTTCAAGGGATATGGAGGCCAAATAGTTTAGTGGATTAAAGTGCCTTAGGCAGATGCAGGGGCCAGGAGTTTGATCCCTGGACCTGCCATGCTGGCCCTGCCTCTGGGGTGTGCTGAGACAGTGATTGAGATTGGGCGTGGTGGTGCACACCTGTAATCTCACCACTTGGGAGACTGTAAACAGAAGGATCACTGAGTCTGATCTATGCAGTAAGACCCTGTAGACCCTGTCCTAAAATTAAAAAAAAAAAATTCAAGGGATAGAAACCACTAAAAAAAATAGAACCAAATAGTAACTTTGAAGCTAAAGAACCCAATCAATATATGAAATAAAATAGTCCAAAGAGAACTTCAAGAGCAGACTGTGAAAGAAAGAACAATTGTCCTTAAAATAGGGCATCTGAAGTTGCTTAGTCAGAGGAAATTTTTTAAAAAGAAAAACATTACAGAAGATATCCTATGCAAACTATAGGATATAATCAAGTTAACCAAAACACGATTATTTTGTCCTGGAAGGAACAAAGAGAGAGAAAGGGACAGAAAGCTATTAAAAGAAATGACAGAACACTTCCAAAAATTTGGGGCAAATAAGAAACACTCAGATCTTTCAAAACTAAAGAAGCACAAATATATTAACTATAAATAGATCTTCACTAATACACATTTTAATCAAATTCAAAAGTGATAAGGACATTGAGAATTTTAAAAACAAGAGAAATGCAACTTATCACATACAAGAAAATTCCATGACTATCAGCAGATTTCTCAGCAGAAACCTTGAAGGCCAGGAAAAAAATGGAATGATACATGCAAAAAGCTGAGAAAGAAGCTAAACAGTAATTAAGTCAGCAATTCTAACCTCCAGAAATGAATAAGAAGGATTTTCCCAGGAAACAAAAGCTGTGGGAGTTTATCATCACTAGATCTACCTTACCAAAAAATGCTACAGGGAGTTCTTCAAGCTGAAAGAAAAGAATGCTAATTTCTAAGCCTTCAAATTTTTTTTAGAGCATAAAACTCATTGATATAAGTAAGCCAACAGCCAAATTCAGAATACTCTAATTCTGCAATGGTGGTACGTGAATCATGTATCTTCAGGGAAATCAGACAAGCAAGTTTAAACATTGCTCTGCTTCTCTTACGTGAGAAAAGCAAAATAAAAATAAAGAGCAAAATGACGAATAGGTATTGCATAGTAGGAAGAACTTCTTCAAATGAGAAGGGGAGCAAAGGTGGAGGAAGAGGAAGGAAAATGAATTGGATCACAAGAGGAAAGACCACAGGAAGTAGGCAAAGGAGACTGTTTTGTGTCCAATAAAGAGATGTTGACAGACTAACCTGGGTCTGTAATAGCAGAAATGGAGAGGCAGAGATGACATTTAAATATATTCAGACACTATGAATTTGGCAATTACTTGAAGACAGTAGAGAATCTGATCAGCTCTCTATTAAGGTTCCCTGGGCTTGAATTTTGGTAAATTTCTGCACTCACTGTGCACCTGATCTTAAGCAATTTACTTAGTTTTTCCTGAATCTTGGATGGGAAGTGATAAGAATCTAAGGCAGGAGCAGTGGAACGAAGAACAGAAAATTTAAGAGACATTAAATTAGTAAAACTGGCAGTTGAGCTGGTATTGTGTACATTGAGGACGGCAGGTCTGTAATGGAAATCTGTATTGTTTCCACTTACTGAGGCAGAGAACTGAAGAGTAAGAAGCAAGGAGCTGATGGTCATTTTGGACATCAGCATTAGGGGCTGGCCATGTGATGACAGCAGACAACTGGACACATAGGCATCTGTTTGGCAGGAGTCACAGGGTGGAAATACAACATTTGTAAGCTGTCAGAATAGAGGTGAGAAGTGCTGCCACAGGAGGGAAAGGTGTCACTCAAGGAGAATGTGGCAAGAGCTTAGGGAAGCAAGGTAGGAACTCTGGTAGCACCAATATTTAAGGGTCCCCTCACTCAAAAGAATTTTAAAAGAACACTGGAGAGGACCATTGGGATGGATTAGGAAATGAATATGAGCTGCATAACAGAGTTGGAGAATAAATGTAAAGCATATTGAGATTTCAGGTAATGGGATGTAGTGATAAGATGTTTTCTTTGTTTTTAGATGAGAACATTGTAAATATTGATATATTAGGAGCAGAAAGGATAGAAGGATAGAAAGGAACAGATGAATTAAGACTTAGGAGAATGCTTAGCAAGTTTCTTGGAGTAGGATCTGGGACAGAGAGTGAGAACTTTCTACTGAGACTAAATAGAGGGTATCAGCTGAGTATATGCCAAATCTTTATCACTAGATGAAAGGATAGTAGGTGGATTTTGAACGCAGACAACTGTATGTTTCTGTATAAGTACTCTGCACCAACCAATGGTGCTACTGGCTCCTTCAGCTATGCATTTCTAAACTACGTCTCCTCTTCTGTTTTTTCAATTTTTCTTTTTATATTTTTT